CAGCGCCACACATGGCCAGCTCCTCTAAGTGTGCTCTCTTTTATCTTATTGCCTATTAGTGCCACACCTAATTTTTTCGAATGGATTCATTTCGAATTCTATCTCTTCTTGTCTTGTCACTCATCCATCTCAACATCCTCATCTCCGCTACACTCATTTATAAGTATATTGTTTTTGTTCCCCCAATATTCACCCCATAGAGCAAAGCTGGTCTCACAACTGTCCTCTAGAACTTGCCCTTTAGCTTCATTGGTGTGCGGCGATCACATAAAATTTCAGTTGCACATCTCTACTTCGCCCACCTAGCTCTACTTTTGTGTGCGACATCTTCCTCAATCTCTCTATTTTGCTGAATTATCGATTTAAGATATCAAAAGTGCAGTCTTTTTTGTACTTCCTGGTCATCAATCGTAACGACTTCCTCATCTCTACTCCTATTATTACTAAACTTGCATTCCATAAATTCTGTCTTAGTCCAACGAATTTTAAAACTTTTGGATTCTAGAGCATCCCTCCAAATTTTTGACTTTGTGTTGACGCCATTTCGGGTCTCATCAATCAAAACTATATCATCTCCGAACAACATGCACCACTGCACCTCATCCTTTAGGCCCCTAGTTAAGTCGTCCATAACTAAGACAGAGTTACGGGCTCATTGTTGATCCTTGATGTAGACCTATTGACACTGAAAACTCACTTGCCGCTCCGCTAGTTGTTTGTACAAGTTAACGCTCCATCATACGTATCTCTCACCAAGTCGATGTAGTGTCTGGAGACTCCTTTCTTTTCCAACACCTGCCAAATTAAATCTCGAGGTGCTCTATCATAAGCTTTCTCTAGATCAATAAAGATCATGTGGAGGTCGTTTCCCTACGCCTTAAACTACTCTATCAGTTGCCTAAGTAGGAAAATAGCCTCGGTTGTTGACTTTCCTGGCATAAAACCAAATTAGGTTTCAGATACACTCGTTTCATGCCTTAGTCGTTGCTCAATCTCTCTTGTCCAGAGCTTCATAATATGACTCATAAGCTTGATCCCTCGATAGTTCGCAAAATTCTGTATGTCTCATTTATTCTTGTAAATAGACCACAACACTTTTCCTCCATTCGTGTGGTATTTTTTTTGTTCTCTACACCTTGTTGAACAACTTCGTCAGTCAGTTAATGCCAATCTCCCCTATGTACTTTCAAACCTCTATCGGGATACCATCTAGTCCTAAAGCCTTTCTTATCTTCATCCTTTTCAAAGCTTCTTTCATTTTCGACATCCTAATCTTACAAATGTATCTATTACCTCCGCCCTCATTTATACCGACATTTTCTTCTACTGTTATGTTCCCATCGTGTTCGTCATTTAATAATTTTTGAAAATAAACTCTCCACTTTTCTTTGACCTCGTTATCCTTCACCAAGACCCTTTGATCCTCACTCTTAATGGATTTAATATGGTTTAGATCTCTACATTTTTTCACTCATTTTTACTAATTTGAAAATATTTTTTTCACCTTCTCTTATTCCCAGTTTATTATATAGATTATCATATGCTTTAAGTTTAGCTTTATTTACTATTTATTTAGCATTTTTCTTAACATTTGTATATTCTTTTAAGTTTTGATTGTTAATATTACACTGCCTAGTTTTATAACATGATCGTTTTTCGCTAATGGCCTTTTGAACCTGATCACTCTACTACCAAGTTTCCTTATCAGAATTTCTTTTCGCTATAGATTCTCTAAAACTTCTTTTGCCACTTTTTTAATATAGTCATCCATCTCATTCCACATAACATTAACCTCATGTTCAGAGTTTCATCTTCCTTCTTTAACTAATTTTTCCCTAAATAAGTCTATTTTCTCATTTTTTACGTTCCACCTCCTAGTTCTTGGACACCCATTACTTTCACCTCTTCATGTCGTCTACTATCCTTCCCTACATGCCCATTTAGGTCATGTCCTAAAAAGGTCCTCTCTCCATTTGGTATGTCTTGGACTATTCTATCTATGTCCTCCTAAAATTCTCTCTTAATTTTATCATCTAATCCTACTTGTGGTGCATAAGCAATAATTATATTAATTATCTCTTCCCCTAATACGAGTTTAATTAATAGGAACTTATTACCGATTCTTTTGACATTAACTACTTTTTCTTTTAAATCTTTGTTTACTATTATGCCTACGCCATTTCTATTGTTATCCTTTCTTGTATACTGAAGTTTATACCAATCTATTTCTTTAGCTTTTTCTCCTTTCCATTTAGATTCCTGTCAACAGATTATGTTTGCTCCCCTTCGTCTCATTGTATCCACTAGCTCCATACTCTTGCCTGTAAGCGTTCCTACATTCCATGTGGCTAGACGATTCCTATTCTCTTGAGCTAGCTTCTTTACTCGCATTCGTCAAGGATGTCGTGGGAACCCTTGCCTATTTTTCACCGCAATCAGGCGGCGCTGCGGTGCATCGCTTCTAGGGAATGCCCTAGCTGAACCTTGCTCATTTCTCACCGTACCTGGGGTTTGGTACGTGCTTCTGGGGAACGCCCTAGCTACCCCTTGCTCATTTTTCACTGTACTTGGGTTCCGGTACAACGCGTCACTTTTGGGGAACACCCTAGCGTAAGCAGATACTATAGGCTCAAGATTCATGGGAAGTTTTGGCAAAATTTTAGGTTGGCTGCCTACCTAACACAACCCAGCCCTTTTACCCTGACATGGGACAGGTTAAGGGAAAGCTTAAGGTCATCACCCTTCTTAGACCTAATTTGATACACTAGTTATGATTTATAATAAATACTCCAACAAGTCTTTCATGGTTTGGTTGCAAAATTTCCATGTCATATGCTAACACAATATTGGTTGGACTAAAATATTTTTACAACTATCATTAACTAATAAATACTCCAACAAGTCTTTCATGATTTGGTTGTGAAATTTCCATGTCATATGCCAACATAACTTTGGCTGGACTAAAATATTTACAGCTATCATTTACTCTTCTCGATTATGTAGTTTTAGAAAATCCAACAGGCATAAGACATGACTTCTTACCCTAGTTATGATTGATAGTACAGTGATTTAGATGTCAGACAATAAGCCAACAAATTCTGAGAGCCTCAGGCCAAAAGTTCAACTGAGCTAACTCAGACGAACTTAGGCAAGCAGTAAGCCACCCAATATATTTGGTAGATGAAGTACTTGGAGGCAAGTCAATGCATGACAATGTTCAATGCATGACAATGTTTCATCAATATATCAGCATTCCTTTTTTCATTATAATTACACTAAGATACTTCTCTTCAAGGTCGAGCTGATCATACTTTACCACCGAGGTTTCTCCATGTCTTTCCATAAACTAATGGAATATATGGCGTTGACAATCATTCTTACCAATGTGCACATTTAAAGTGACCATCCCAAAAAGGAGCTTAATAATTCTAATATAATACATTAATTTATCCACATCAAGACAAGAATAGCTGATTATGGGGGAACAAAGTTTTGCCATCTCTGAACCTAACCAATAACTCCTCTTGGATTTTGTAAGAGCTACATTATTAGAAAGTCTACAGTAATTTGATACAATTAAATCTTTTTGGATATTCGATAAATTAGAGAAAGAAAGCACATAAATATGATGAAAAAAGGCTTATGAAAGAGCTAGATACAAAAATGTGCAAAGCTGAAGAAAAACTTAACACTAACCATAACATCCCACGTTGTTATTATCAACATTAACTTCTCTTAAGCGCCTCATCATTTCAAGCTGATAATTTGCTCCATCCGCTTCAATTTCCTTTATCTTCTTCTTGACTCGGAAATGGGAAACAAAATTCATATTATTATTCCCAGCAAAATTCGTAGGATGCATCCGTCATTATTTTCTGATTGATTCTACTTTGTGTTTTATTGGAACTGTATATATGCTTTCCTTCTCCAGTATGTGTAGTTATTGTGATCCTAGAAATATAGTTGTGGATAACTTTTGAGCATAGCGGGTTCAAACCAGCATGTATACCTGAAAATTATGTCAGCCCAAATTTGGCTTGCATTGAAAACTACACTTTGTCCATCATGTAGCATCCATATCAATGATTAGACATTACACTGCTTTTACTACATTTGTGGCTAGACCAGTTTTTTGACATTTTCTGTGTATGACTTTACCTCTGTGGCAATGGTACACATTGCCTTAGGATTCTCATTTAGAGTGAACACAAAATATGGAGGGCCGGACTCAGCAATGGAAAGAAGCTCTGAAGGCCAGAAGATCGAGTTTCTATATAATTAAAATTATCTTGGCAATCCTTTTAGGTTAAGAACAAATTCGCACATCTACAATTTCCTTTTGTTTTTGGTTCCAAATTTCTCATTATTCTGCAGAACAAGATTAGTGAGAGATGCCGATACCCAGTGTAAGAGTTTGTGGTTGCTTTTTCTCTGTTCTTTTGGCGTGTTCCTTTTCTGTAGGATTGTGTTTCTATGCACTATATGTTTGACATTTTGCGGGTAGTAATGAGGAAACCAACTGCTATGGAAGTTGCAAACTAGGTGTATAGTTTAATGTACTCCCACATAATAGTGGATTTTTACTTTAATTGATATTTTGCAAAGCATGGGGTTTCCAATGAGATAAATTATGGATAACGGCTGAATCTGTTTTCTTGAATTAGTTTAGCTATTGATTGGTTCTCTTTCTTCATTCTACTTACCATGAAATATTTATGCTTTAAGGTTTAAATTCAAGGTCAATGAACTCCTAAGTAAATCGACTTAAAAATATAGCCTTTCAAATGCTATTTAAGAGAATTATACCTTACAACATCTCAAATACTATTTTCTGTAGAATGTACATGCTTGGTTTATGAGAATATAGTATCGGTATTCTCGCATGAGTTTGAAGTTTTAGAAGCATTGATTACATTGGAAATGATAATGTTTTAATCTTTCTTTAGTGTTGATTTATTTTGGTATTTGTATGAGGCTGAGAGAAAGCTCTCATTTTGTAGATTTGTGTTTCTTCTGTGGATCCAGAAGCATTCCTTGCTGCTGTGGAAGCAGGGGCCAAGATGGTTAGCACCAAATCCGTTGAATTAATTAATATAATTCTTTCTGCAACACAATGCTAGACCTGTCTCTCAAGATGCCATCTTTCTTTTCTGAAAATGAAAGGTCACTTTGGAAGAATTCGATGTAAATTTCTAGTACATTTTTCCTTTTGTCAATGTTAATGATTATTTATTTTTACTATTGCCGGGTTATGCAGGTTGAAATTGGAAATTATGACTCCTTTTATGAATTTGGAAGAATATTTCCTGCAGAAGAGGTACTAAATTGCCTAAATTTGGAGATGCGTGTGACTAGTTTATATGCCTAGGTCTGTCCTTGTTATTGTTTTTTTTTTTTTTTTCACATGCTTGTCTTAGATTAAGCTTGTTAGTTGTGAATATATTTTTGAATTCATTTGGAATTTTGAGCTTGAACTGTCTTAAATCACTTCATTTGGTGCAAGTTGAATCAAAAGGGAAATGAATGTGATTGTCCTTGGCCGGAAAAATCTTAGAATATCAGTTAAAAAAAAGAGCGTAGACATAGTTTCAAAAAGCGGTAGGCGGGTCCTAAGCAGCCTGGGGGGTCCAGGCCACCCAAAGCCTAGGCGGGCGCCCAGAACCTAGGCGGCCAAGTTGAATCCAAAAAGGATTCTAAAGTTATATATTGTATAAAATATAAGAATAGGTATTTAGGGCACATCAGAATTCAAAGTATACTGTACATTAGCACACACTCCATAAGCATAACCAAAGTCAGTCCATATCCAATTGAAACTTAAAATTTACCAACCAAATTACCAAACCAAAGTTACCAAATACCAAACTAGTGGAACTACAAATCCACTATCTACAAGACCACAATACACAACCAAGAGAAAGAAAACAAAAATGAAAGTAATACTTGAAGACTTAAAAGAATCTTCAATAGTGCAATAAATGGTCAAAGTTTAATCATTATTCAACATTTATCATTCATCAATCATCATCAGAAAAATTAGGGTCAGCTGCATTTGCATCATATTCATTGCCGTTGGAGTCATCACCCTCCTCGACATATTGGTCGTCCTCCTCCGTCTCTTCTGAATCTGCCTCGTCTTCCTCCACCCTCGTCCTTTGTGCAGAAGATCTAGTGGCTCTAGGAGGGTCGGCTGATGTCCCTGAAGCGTCCATGACCATGTTCCATGTCAATCCTTTTTCCTTCATGCCCCTCAACTTCATCATCATCAACTAACCACTCCATAGCATCGTCCATATTTTTTGATCTGATGGGGTCTCTCTTAGTAAACCTGTCCTTCAAGAATCGATTATACTTGACATAGACTAGGTCATTGAGCCTCTTTAATTCAAGCCTGTTCCTTCTCTTTGTATGAATCTAACAAAATCAAATGAAACCAATTAAAATGTATGGTTCATGTATTATTAATACAATTATACAAATTACCCTTACGGCCTTAGCCCTTCAAAAGTGCTCCAATTGCATTCACAATCGGATGAGGAAGTGGTTAGGTTTAAGATCCGAATGGCCAACTTTTGTAAATTTGGAGAACAACACCCATATTGGCTCCACCAATTGGCTGCAAAGATATTGAATAAAATCATAAATAAATAATAGAATTATAAAAATGAAACTTGATTACTTGAACTTGATGAACTTAAGAATATTATTCGTACCTGGATCAATTTTGGTCCTTTGCCTCATCGTCATTGGACTCCCAAAAGACTTTAATGAGCACTTGTAATTTATCAGCCCATCAACGCATATAATATCCTGGATATCAGGATTAGGGACTAGCACATCTACACACTTATTAAATCCAGTCATAATTGTGTCATTTGTGTGTATATCCTTGTCAACATAAAAAAAAAGCTGGGTTCAAATAATAATCAGCTGCATGCAATGGTTGATGTAGCTGCCTATCCCACTTTTCATCAATAATCTCCCAAACAGGCTTATAACGGTCCTCATCATCATCAAAAATTTGGGCTATCTTTCTTTTGCATTTCTCCATAACCTCATATATGTAGCTAATAGAAGCCTTGTCACTATCAACCATGCGAAGGACTTTGACAAGAGGAAAAAATACCTTAAGAGCACCCTTCACCCCTCGCTAAAAAGCTGAAGAAAGGATAATATCTTTCACCTTCTTCCAACCTGATCCTTGGACCACTTGCATGCTCTCCAGTCATCGGAGGTAAACATTTGCCTCAACTGCACTCTCCTCGAATGTATGCTATCTAGGCATAAGTACCAGGTCGCAAATCTGAGGCCCCAGGCCTCACATTCTCTTTGTTCTTATAAATCTACGCATCATGCTGAGGGTGAGATGGTAGCTATAAATGAAATTTGTAATTGACTTTGCCTTCTTCACTGCACCTGTTATCTTGGTTAAACCGCCTAGAGCCTCAAGCATGAGGTCTATACAATGTGGTGCACATGGTGTCCAAAAGATTTAAGGATAAGTTATGCGCA